GCTCAGCTGGGTGGTGTGTGGATTCAGCTCGAAGGAGGGTGAACATGTAATGACAAGCTGGTTGGCTGGCCAAAAGCAAAGAGCAAAAAAGGCGCACTTGTGGGTGTGTCTAGGCCCGAATCATCCTGACGGGTAACATCACATTCAAGGTGGTCGAATTCGCCTCGCAAGTGCTCCCGTTTGTGATGTGCGCTCATAGCGCCGAAACTGATACGATCAATTGTGAGAGAGGGAAGGGGAGGAGAGGGGTGCGGAGATGGCGCACTAGGCTCATGAGGGTGAGAGGACAGAGTAGGATAAATCAGTGTGGGAGGTGTTAAGGCAGCGACGAGCACGAGCGTCTTGGTGAATCGGCAAAGCCGGTGTAGACAGGTGGTTCGGGACAGTTCGAAAGCCTGTTTGTGTTGTACACATGTGTGCACCAATTTGTGCGAGTGTGTATGAGTGTTTGCAAGCAGTAGAAGAGGTATAGGCACAAATGCGACTTCTTGTGTGGCATTTCGTCTTTTATACATCGTCTTCCTGGAAAGAGGTCTTGCGTATTGAACCAAGGCCAATGAATCGGGCAGCATAGGCTACTTTTACGCCCCCCGCCTTATGAGCCAACGGCCTGTCATGACTTTATCTCCAGAGCATCGCATGCGCACACACACACATGTGCCCCTCCATATATATATAAGCACAAACACAATCCTGCAGTAGAGGCATAGAGAGGTGCATAGGTGTAAAGTGGAAGCCAAAAGTTAACTCCTTTTCTCGGTCTAGGAGAATGCAAGCAAGCCACGAAGGAAATTGGGATTCCACAGAAAATGAACGTGATATATTTTAGCATCATAAACTGACAACCTGTGCAACGGAATAGGGGGCCTTTTCGACATGTTTCCGGACAAGAGGTGACTGCTGCTTCTTCTACTTCCGCTGCTGCTATTGTTGCTGTTGTTGTTGTTGATGATGATGATGATTTTGCTCTTGTGGTCGCTGCTGCAAGTAGAGGATACGAAACGAACCCATCTCGGGTATTGCCGAACAGGTGGGCCATCGGCGAGGCAAGTGTGGAAATAGCCAAAATGGGAAACTGACGAAAAATGAAGAACAAACGAGTGATGTCAGTTAATATAGTTCCACTAGTTGCAGGAATCGACAATGCCACCAGTGCGAAGTGGGAACATTTAACATAGTCAATATTTAGCACCAAGCAGGCCATCCGGGACAGTTGAACAAAGGACTCAACACCTCTTTTTAGCCAGCACTTTGAAGAGAAGGCCTCGAAAAAAACCGCTGTTATACTTCCAGAAAAGTGCATGAACAGGAATCGTAAATTGGCAGCACCGGAAACTGAAGGTGGTCAATTAGAACAATTCATGAATAGATGAACTTCGTTAAAAAGATGGATTCGATGCATGTAAGATGAAAGAGGAGAGAAAAGACATTGGCTTTGTGGGTAACAGGCAGAGCATCTTGGTTTGAGCGTCTAGCTTTTCACGCTACCTTATACATTACCTTCGACAACCGATGGCTAAAAACGATATTCCATTGACTCTGCTTTTCCTCCGCTAAACGAGAACGATGAGATCGAGCCTAGTATGGATTCAGGTGTGATAGTGAGAATATCTTAAGAAGAATAGCTCAAATGGGAAAACGGAGCCAAAGTGGGAGGTACGACGAAGCTGACTGGGCAAAGCCCACATGCACACGGTACCAAGTTCATAAATATCATCCTGGACGGGGATATCATAGGATGTTTTACAATTGTTGAGCTCATAACGTCTTCGAGTGAATGTGTATGATAAAGAGATTCGTGCAAATCAATCCCACTAGAAGACGACAGACTCTTCTTGATCAACAGTCGTTTGACGTTACTAGGGCCGCCTTAATGACGCTGTCTTCGAGACGAGCTTCTTCGGTACCGGTGAAAATGTATCGAGCTTTCGTCTGTCATGACGCCTAGTAGAGAGTCTCAGGACTGGCCACCATTTGCACAACAAATTCAAGCCAACGAGTTTATCGAACTCCTCGGCTTAACCGGACATGCTGTAGATATATTCTAAACCTAATGATTCTTGTGAACTATAGGCTATATGAGATATGCTCACCTTATTTTGTTTAAGATAGTGAAGGACTGGTAGTTGCATATTTCCACAATCATATGAGTAGACCTTACATTTCAAATAAATTTTACATACCCTTGCTTCCACAAAGGTATTCTCGTCCAGAAGTGTTAAATAGAAAAGTTTTGGGCTCCGTTCAAATTTACTTCTGCTCTATAATGCAGGAACTCTAAACAGTTCGGAGTAGTGGTTAACATGCTATGACTATACACTACACTAGTACGACCCGGGCTCGAGGCCCAGAGGGGATGCTAATGAGGCCAATCCGGACAGGGTCGAAACGGCAGTCTAATCCTGCCTGGATGGGGACATCTTTTGGAAAGCAAAGTTATGTGAGATTCAATGGAAACGTAGAGTCTACTCATATGATTGTGGGAAAATTCAACTACCAATCTGCCATCGCCTTAAATGAAATAGGGTGAACACATCTCGTGTATTTGAGTTACTGGTAGTCTCGAAACCCTACTATAAAACGAAAAATGTCAATCTAGAAACATATCCATTTGTATGTCTGAGTGTGCGACGTGAGCTTATGTGTATGTGAAAGTACGAAAGCAGAAGTGATAGCCTTGAGCTATGAGAACGGGGCATAACATTTGCCTTCCACCATTAAAGTTTAATGAACCTTTTTCTCTTAGCCATCAGTCCAATTGCGCAATGACGGACACACGTATGGTTAGGTTGAGCTTTTTAGAGTAAATGAAGAATACAAATTGTTGTAGGTATGAGATTTACTCATCCTTTT